AATCATCTCCTGAGAAATCAGCGTCAGTCGAATCAAAATCACCATCCTCGATGCTTGTTTGGGAGTTACTTTCTTGTCCATTGTCTGTACTAGATTCGCCACCTTTGATTGACCCTTCTTCGGAACTATTGGATTCTTCATTTTCACGTTCTTCTGCCTGTAAATCGTTGAAGAACGAATAAAAGTGTTGGCTCCTCTCGTACGTTTCAATAATCTCGAAAGCGTTTTGTGCATCCTCATGGCAGGACTTGCAAATGATCTTGGGGAGTAAATCGTCCTTCTCAACCTTATAACCGGTGCACTTGGAAATGATATTCGCAATGGATAACCCAAATTCATGGGTTACATCGAAAATATTGACCATATCTTCATAATGCACCAGGCAAACACGACATATTGGGGACTCCATTGATCTCAAATTAAATGAATTAATAATTTAGGTACAGATCCAACAAATCTATCGCAGACTTACGGCGGAACACTAACGTATAAAGGTCTGTCAGACGTGAACTAGACAAGAGTTATTTTCGTACTGATTTAAATAGGTTTGACGGCGGGTTTTTATACATGATTCATATTTAAAAGGTTATATAGTACTGGTCTTCAAGTACAAAAGGGTTCTTTAAGTACCCCAAAGTCTATTTACCTAAACTCAGGTACCGGTCGGCCCAGATGTTAGATATTCCGACAGTGGCATCTTTTATGATGGTGCCAAAGTTACCATCTGTATTAGGTCAATTACTTAAACAAACATTTCATGTATTCAGGTAGACGTAATCAACGAATTTTTGCCTTTAAAATCCCATGGCTACCAAGGGGCTATTATATAGGGGAGAGTGGGGGAATTTCGTCACAGGGGTAATTTCGTCACCTGCAATATCTCGGAATCCATAAGTCATAAAAAATGTATAATTTTTTTGTTTTAGTCCTTCAAGACGGTCAGACACAACCAATGCGTTTTTTTTGCACAGAAGGCCAAGATAATTAAGCTATAATATTAAATGTGTTTTAATAGTTCAAAAGCTACATTTAGTTCTCGACGAAATTTTTACTGTATGCCACAATTGGAAAGGGATAAGATACAGGTTTTTTTGTATAATACACAGTGCTATAATGTGCATTTCTGCGTCAGTGATTTTTAACTTCGCGCCTAATTTCGGAAGAAAAATAATTATTTCTAAAGAAGTACTGTCTGGGGAAATTTCGACACCCTACGCTAAGGGTAAATTCGCACCTATTTTAAATACATATTTTTATATTTGACGAGCTGGCTAACGAACAGACTACCAGCAGCAGCAGCAACAAATATAGGACGTCAACAAAAATGGTACGCTTGATCAGTGTAGCATATTTACAGGCGTTAAACTCCCTACATTTTTCAGGCGACGAAATTGCCCCAGTGGTGTGGTGATTTTACCCCCCTGTGTGGCGAGATTGCCCCAGTATATTGGTTTTACTTTTTAATTTTTTATAAATCACCAAGGTAATAAAAAAAATAGGGAAATGTCACATTTTAAAGCTTGGTGCTAACCGCATTCAACAATAAAAATAGAAAAATGATAACGTGTCTCAAGATGGACAAAAAATAGCTTTGAAAAAATGCTGACGAAATTCCCCCACTCTCCCCTACAAATGTTCATGTTTTGCAAAATTATCGTATTCAATACATATATGTTTCTGCTTAACCCTACTTTTCACTTACCGTAGCTTTCTGTATTCCCCCTTTACTCACTATTCTCAATAACATAAGTTACCGTCAGCATATTCGGAGGTGAACTAGCACCATCCTAAGGCTGACTATTTGGTTCTGCAGCGGAAGTTTTAGTTTGCTTACTCACTGACCGAGGTCTCCGGCCAGATCCAACCTCTTAAGATTCAAGTTGTAAAACTACAATTTAAATAAAAAAGGAATCGAAGTACTATTACTCCAAAGCAGGGACCGTAAATAATCATTATTAATTTTTTTTTTAACAAAAAAATCATGGTCAAAGAATAATCCTAGAAAAAAAGAACTATACCAGTACACTTTTTAAGCACCATAGTTTCAATATCCGGCTTAATTTTTATTTTTCCAATTTTTATTTAAAACTCGAAGGATAATCGTTATTTTTTGAGTTTTTTATAAAACTCTAAAAGTAATGATTTTTTTTTTAGTTTTATTTCAGCTCTAGAAATAATGATTATTTTTTGAGTTTTATTTTCCGCTTGACAAAAAACGCTTACTTTTTGATTTTTATTTTCTGATTGAAAAATAAAACTTATTCCTTGAGTTTTATTTTTTGATCAGAAAATAAAACTCGAAGTCCAATTTCTTTGAATTTAAGAGGTTTAACTTTAAAAGCGGTTAGCAAATGTACTAAGTAGACCATGGCCAACACATTAAGGGCACTTTTAATTTTATACAATAACCGGAAACCGCCAAAAACCAAGAAAAAATACTCTGCCTTAAACTTACATATAATGTAGCCAAATCAGGTGTTATGTTTTTCAAAAGCAGCTCAAGCCTTATCACAGCACGGACCAGCTTAAAAAAGCTATTTTCCCAAATTAAAAGGGTTCACCACAACGTAAGTCAATAAATATATTTCCGCATATTGAATAAACAAATAAATTCTTAAATAGGATAATAATGAAAATGTTCCGAGGGAGGAACCATCAACATCGTCGACGAGTTCCTCAATTCCATTGAAGTTGACTCGAACGATAAAAACTCGGATGATGAAATGGATGCTGACCTGAAAATAGCTTGCAGTGAAATCGATAATTATAACCCCAAACCGATCGATTTAAGTGCCGATATTATGGTGTATTGGGAGGAAAAAAATTCGTTTACTGGCTATGGTTGTTCACTGCGTTCCAGCAACGCAAGTAAGTGTAGAAAGCTCCTTTTCTGCGCTTAAATTAGTAATAACAGAAATGAGAACAAACCTTTCAAGCGACTCCTTAGAAAAATTGCTTTTTGTTAAATTAAATGTATAAAATAAAAACTGTTTATACAAAAACTTAAATTATTAATTATATTTTCAAAAGTAGATCTTACCAACCCTGGTCATTCTTAAAGTTGGCCACCTTTCTGCTTTTCGAACACATAACACCTGATTTGGCTTCATTATATGTAAGTTTTAGGCAGAGAATTTTTTCTTGGTTTTTGGCGGTTTCCGGTTATTGTATAAAATTAAAAGTGCCCTTAATGTGTTGGCCATGGTCTACTTAGTACATTTGCTAACCGCTTTTAAAGTTAAACCTCTTAAATTCAAAGAAATTGGACTTCGAGTTTTATTTTCTGATCAAAAAATAAAACTCAAGGAATAAGTTATATTTTTCAATCAGAAAATAAAAATCAAAAAGTAAGCGTTATTTGTCAAGCGGAAAATAAAAGTCAAAAAATAACACAGGTCAACAAAATGGACTTTATTAAAAGGTGCAGGCCTATTGGCATTAAAATATGTTGATATAGACGTATATAAGCATATCTGCATAATTAGTTTTTGCGTTTAACGGGTGGTATTTGGGCAATCGCGGTTTGAAAAAAAAAGCAACATTTAATTTTTTGATTTAAGATGTCTTCGAGGGTCTGTGCTCAGATGTAATAAAACCTATGCCAAAAAATTGCTTAGATGCCCTTCTACATTATTGCATTTAAGGTTCCATCATAATTTGAGTCAATCAAAGCCTATGAGCCATTGAAGTAATTTGTTCACCTCTATTCCCAACCAACTTGATGCGGTGAACACGCCTAAAAAAATACAAGGAAAAATATATGCCCTAAAATATTTTACAGGCATCTAGGGACGTCTTTCACCGAATTTTCAAGACAAATAAGACCATTGTACGTCGAAGGATGGAATTTATAGAATTTTTTCCGTAAGAACGTGAAAAGTAACAACTATTTTTGAATCCCATTTTACATAAATATTTGACACATTCGTAAAAATGTGCCTTTCAATTTGGTTAGCAGTAGGCGCCGACCATAGACAAATTATATTTTTAAGGGATTAATATGCCTAAAAAAAATCCCCCCCACAATTTTAAGGCTACGCCACTGTTATCTTTAAAAAACCTACTGTGTGAAATCACGACAAACTCGTTACGTAAGAGTGACTTTAACATACTTGTTACTTTTCCCATTCTTACGGAAAAAATTCTATAAATTCCATTCTTCGAAGTACAATAGTGGGATTTATTTCAAAAATTCGGGAAAAGACGCCTCTACATAACTGTCAAATATTTTAGGGCACATATTTTTCCTTGTATTTTTTTAAGCCTGTTCACCGCATCAAGTTGGTTGTTAATAGAGGTGAACAAATTACTTCAATGGCTCATAGGCTTTGATTGACTCAAATTATGATGGAACCTTAAATGCAATAATGTAGAAGGGCATCTAAGCAATTTTTGGGCATAGGTTTTATTACAACTGAGCACAGACCCTCGAAGATATCTTAAATCAAAATATAAAATGTTGCTACTTTTTTCAAACCGCGATTGCACAAATACCACCCGTTAAACTCGAAAACTAAGTATGCAGATATGCTTATATCCGTCTATATTAACACAATTTAATGTCCATAGGGCTGCACCAAAAACACTGTTGGTCTGTGTAATCATTATTTATAGAGTTGAAATAAAACTCAAAAAACAATCATTACTTTTAGAGTTTTACAAAAAACTCAAAAAATAACGATTATTTTTTGATTAATAAATAAACTCAAAAAATAATCATTAAAGATTGAGTTTTTGGATAAAACTTATAATCATTACGGTACCTGCTCCAAAGTATACAACTATTTTTGATAACTTGTTGCTGAAAGCTATCCATTGTCGTAGATAAAAGCCTTCGGAGTTGAGGGTATGTACACAATTTATGACAAAGTGTAATATCAAAACATCCAAAACTGATCTTATCCTGTTTTTCTAAGACTTGACCACAGCCTTACATTTAGTTTTTGAAGTTTGTATCGAACCCCCTTTGCTATTACTTTGCAATTATTTAAGAAATCCTCTTCATGAGGGTCAATTAACAATGTTTATTACGAGTGTAATGGAGGATTTTGGGGAACCTCACATGAGGATGTTGTTGCATCGCATGCCCGAAATCATGGGGCGCTCCTTCAGACCAGTGATGTAGTTGCCGTACACCTGGAGGAACTCGCTTCTCTTCCTGGTGAACATCGATGCCTGCTGGCATAGGTCGACGTTCACGTGGCTCTCGGTTAGGTAGACGCGTCCGTTGATGTGGATGTGACTATTGTTGATGTAGATGTTCTGGCCGGGCTGCGAACTGGCCGACCGGTGCGATGAACCGGAGACTGTTTCAACTATGGAGTCCGTTTGCTTCCACAACACCATGGACTCCTCGGAGGCCATGGTTTCATTTTCCGAGTGGGCACTCCCATAACTACTTGAACTGCTGCTGATCCGCAGCTCTTGCAGAAGCTCACGCATTTCCAGGCACTGCGACTGTAGGCTACTAAGTTGCTCCTTCAGGTCCTCATTGTGGTCCAACAGAGGATCAAAGGGATTATGTTGGTTCTGTTGGCACTGCATCTGCTGCTCATCGGCAAGATCCTCGTCTTGGGCCGCAGATTCCGGAGGCAGAGCCCTGCGACTCTTCAGGTAGCTCTTAGCCTGCACCTCGGCCAGTTGGAGTAGCTTAGACAGACCCAAGGTCAGGGCGAAGATCACCCCGAAGCTCATTGCGAACTCATAGGCCCCTCCGGAAGGGCTCTGCTCTGAAGTACTTTGGCACAGCTGCGGCTCAAACGTAATACCCGGGTACTCTAAAAAAGAAAGCATTAAAGCGTCCCAATTGATTATTCCCAATAAATGGTAATTCCTTTTTTCAATAGTTAAAGTCATCTAATTTTAATTTATTTTTCTAGTAAACATTGCACAAACATAATTTCTCTATGCTTTGTTTCAGAATATTTATTAAATATTTTAAGAAACCAACACGCTTATGATCTATATTAATTTTACTTTCGCGAAACCAAATCAGTTTGCCAAATCAGTTTCAAGAACTCCGCTCTTACCACCATTATTTGCTTTATTGAATTATTGCGCTCTTACCTGTGTAGAGTTCCACTCGGAAATCGGAGGAGCCACGCTTCTGAATCTGGACCACATGCTGGAAACAGAGGAGGACCCAGGCAACGAAGGCCAGTGCAAACAAGAACAAAAAACTTATGCTTTCGAACATGATTCCCGAATTCTTGTTGTGTGATAATAACATGTGTGGTTATAAAAACAACAATCGAGCTAGTCGGGTTTCGTGTGAAAAAGTTGAAAGTGAGTAAAAAGGAAACTTGACAATTATACCAAAAATAGCATTCCTACTCTGTTTTTTTTATCGGTATTTAAAACCTATTTTAATCATAATTTGAGGGTAATTTTCTTGTCTTGTATAAGAATTCAGAGTTTAAAGACTACTCCAACTTTAACATGCGGACGCTAAAACGGTCCTTAGGAATTTGCAGAGTAATGGCCGTTTGGATCTCAAAATCTAAAATTAGTTTTCATTATTAATTATCTAAAATTAAAATCAAAATTAATTATCTTTGTTTTATCTCGAAATCTGACGATCTATACTTTACAGTTAACTAAAACGGTCTTAAAATTTAAAGCCCCCACCATCCACGCCCCCTCTAACGCCCACTAACAATTTTAAAATGTGTCTGGCGCCCACACCTTTAAAGGTTTCCAAGAAGTATAAATGCAATTTTGTTATGTATTAATACACCTATCAAAAAGTAGAAGACATTTTTCAAATCGGACCATTCATTAAAAAGTTATACGCAATAAAAAATGTTATATAGGTGAGAGGTCTTTAGGTTGGTACACCTTTTGTTTTTAATCTGCCATTTCGCATTAACTTATGAAACTTCACGCATTTGGTACTGATCGAAAGGTTAGTCTATTAGCTTTAAATTATTAGCTTTTAGGAAAACTAAAAAATAATTTTTTTTGAAAAGTGTCAAAAAACGACATTTTGAAAAAGAGGTCTGAAAGTTGGGACACTTTTAAAAGTCAATAATACTCACACCAAAAGTACTCCAAACTTTTAAAAGCTATTTATTTATGTTAATTTAATCAATTTTAGTTCGACTTAAATTAATTCCCATCCATTTTTTAAGATCTTAGACCAAATAACAATAAAATCAAAAGGCTCATTGAACATTCACTTTTCCCCTAATATCAAAGAAATGTACTAGGCAGAAAGCGATCTCTGTCGGGCTAAGGCCGTTTGTATAAAAACGGGTGTCTCAACTTACACGCTAAAAGTGTCCCAACTTACACAAAATGGTATGTTTCGGGAAAAAATTAATAACTTTTTTTCTGACTGTCACATTAAGCTGATTCTTTTTTAAATTACTAATGTTTTAAATCTCTTACCAAGCTAATTTAAGCACGTTATTTATTTTTAATGGAATTTTGAAAAAAATGGACAAAAACTTTTTTGGTGAAAAATGGTACACGACTCTTACAGCTTAAATCTGGCTAGAGCCTGGCTTATAATGTTTTCCCCAAAAGTTTTGTCACTAATAAGGATTAAAAAAAAAATTAAAAACAATTTTTTTAGTGGAAGAGTTTTGAGAAAATTGAGTGTCTCAACTTAGGGGCTGTCCATATATTACGTAATCACCTAGGGGGGGAGGGGGTCATTGAAATGATTATGTTTGATTACATGGGGAGGGGGGGTCTTGTACAATGATTACGTAATCATTTTATATTAATTTTTTTATTTAAAGAATTTATTTAAAAACTTTTTTCCTTTATTTATATCTACAAACCAGGGACCAAAAATAAGTGTTATTGTAAATTTTTCATACAAAAAAATCACGCATTGTAGTTTACAAATCCGTAATGATTTTTATTTTTTGATTTTTATAATAAAACTCAAAAAATAACTGTTATTTTTTGATTTTTATGAATAACAGTTATTCCCTTGACATTTTTGAAAAAATGAAATAATTAAAAAAAACATGATTCCCGTGTTTTATATAACTTACTAAAAATTTGTTAAAAAAGGCAACCGTGCATATTTTATACCTATATTTTTTTTAAATTTATTTTACCCACAAAATCGCCATAAATCAAGTTTGAGTTTTATTTTTGATCACGACGAATAACTGTTATTTGCCAACTTTTATTATAAAACTCAAAAAATAACAGTTATTCCTTGAGTTTTACTTTACAAATCAGAAAATAACTGTTAAAGTGTGATTTTTAAAATAAAACTTATAACAGTTACGGTCCCTGCTACAAACTTAAATAGGAAAGCAGAGAAAAAATTTTTGTAGTGGCTGGGCGGCGAAAAAAAGAATGTTTAGTGGTTCAATCACACGAAGGACGCGAAGACCTGGAATGGCTTGACGAAGAGTATGTTGGGGATAATATCAGCGTAGACGAACCGAATGTGTCATACCAAACTTCATTTATAAACAATATTAAAGATTGGGTTGCATCTCCGTTTGAATCCACAGATTAAAACAAAAAAAATTTTATTCTGGGGATTACGTAATCATTGGGGGGGGTTGTTTATTGAATGATTACGTTTGATCACCAGGGGGGGGAGGGGGTCAAAAATCACCAAAAACGTGATTACGTAATATATGGACAGCCCCTTACAGACCGTCCCAACCTGCAGACCTCTCCCCTATGCATATAGTATACATACATGTGCACTAGGGCGGTCCAAAAAATGAACTTCTATTCTCACCCCTTCATTAAAATCCACCAGAAAATAAATTTTATATCGATTTTTTAAGTTGGGCAAAACGGATATTACCGCCCTGTTAGATCCCTGTTGTCTTAGTTAACAGCTGTAAACTGCCAAAATACCAAACTTAAAATATTCTTATAAAATATATAAATTTCTGGTGGATTCTAATGATTAAAAGCTTGTTTTTTTTTCAAAATAAAATTTTTTGGTGTATTTTTAACAAAGCCATTTATGCCAAAACTTTTGCGTTGTTTCCATTTTATTAGCTTTGACGGGGTGTAGTTTCTAAACTAATGACTGGAACTCTGACTGAATGCTGTGTATAAGAAAATTAAAGGACATTCTTTTACCTGTAAAAGCAGCTAACTTTGCAGCTGTTATTTTAACAGTGCACTGTTAAATATTAACATTTTAAGTATAAGGCATAACAGTTTGATGTTTTGTTAGTACTTTCTAATTAATTGTTTTCCAATTGCAGCACTTTTAAAAATGACTAAATGCCAGTAAAAGTGGACTTTTACCCCATAGTGCTGTGTTATTTGCGAGCTATGAAAAAAAGGCTTCAAAAAGGCTTGCTTTTTTTTTGGCTTTGCTTTTATGTATGTGTGTTCTGTAATGCAAAAAAAATAAGGTTCAAGTATGCTTGTATGCGTATTTTCTAAAGCAAAGGAAATTTTTATTATTGGAAATGTATTGTTAAACAAGTAAACCAATTTCACCATTTCACTATGGGGCATTTGACCACTTTGGTTGGCCAAAACCCATTTTTTAAAAGTCGTTAAAACAAAAAATGTTGTTTGAGGATGTGTTAACAAAAGACCATTTAACAATGTTACGTTTACAGAAATCCAATAGAGGTCGCCTCTGTTAAGGTAGGAGCTGTTAAATCAGCTGTTTGATATGCAATTATCGAGCTGTTGTATTTCGACTTTTTGCTTGCAGTTTTAAAGTGCTTTAAATTTGAGTTTTTAAGCAATCTAAGTAAACTTTTTGGATTGGATTTAAAGGATTATGCTATGTACCAAGTATTTGTGTGGTTCGACGACAAAAATTAGACGGTTTTTTCTTACAAATGAGTGTTAAAGGGAGTGGTCTAACAAGTACATTTTTGTAAGAAAACTAATTTTCAAATGGAGCAACAAAGTGAGTCCAGCGGAGTCCACTTCTGGAACCTATTGGGATTTGTAGATTATTTAATTGTTGTTAAAATGTATATGGTCAGAATCGCCACTTATTGCCACTTTTTCTGTAATTGAATTTTTTAGACCATAACCTCAAATTTCACAAACTCCTATCGTTTGCACTAGTGGCTAAGGAAGTAAGGACTTTCGTGACTTTAAATTATTATCAAAATATAGTAGAAATACTTAGCTTTGTAATTGACTAACTTAAGTGGACTTTAGCGGCTTTAAAACGAAAGTTCCGCTACAACTTGAACAAAAAGTCGTACAAATGTAAAGTAAATTCTTTCCTTTGCCCCTTTTTTTGAGAACTTTAGGATATAGTCGTCCGATTTGTACAAAACTGTTAATATTGTTTTAAAAACTTACATAATTGCTATTTCTAAAGTTATGTGCATTTATCTCCAAAAACAGCAAAGTTAATTTGATCGTTTCTATGGCAGCTATATGATATAGTTTTCCGATCCGGATGATTATCATATATAATATGCGGAGGGATAAGAAATGGCGACTGGTAAAGTTTCAAGTCAATATCTTTTGAAATGACCGAGTTATTAATTTCGGCGTATTCTTTTATGTATGTGTTTTTTTATTTAAATCAAATCGGAAAAATAAAATCCAACTAGAATAGGAATGCAAATTTGTGTTGCCTATCATTTTGGGCGAAACGGACTGCCACTTGTGGCGCCCATTTTCAAAAAATTGTCGATAAATATAGATAAATTACCATGGTCTCACTAAATGTACACAACGTTAGCCGAAGCACGAACCACATCCGGGGTGCATTTTAGTGTGGCCATATTCAAAACGCTAGGTCTGATCGAGAGAGGCAGAGCGAGCATAAGAGCGAAAGAAAAAGAAAAGAGTTTCGTCTAAGAGTTCACTGGATTTTTTAGGGGGAAAGCAACATTTTCATCTGGCAACACTGAGTGTGACCGCAACGGTTACGTTTTGATTGCACTTCACGTTGTTTCGTTACGTTTTGATTGCACTTCCCGTTGTTTCGTTACGTTTTGATTGCACTTCACGTTGTTTCGTTACGTTTTGATTGCACTTCCCGTTGTTTTCGTTACGTTTTGATTGCACTTCCCGTTGTTTCGTTACGTTTTGATTGCACTTCACGTTGTTTCGTTACGTTTTGATTGCACTTCACGTTGTTTCGTTACGTTTTGATTGCACTTCACGTTGTTTCGTTACGTTTTGATTGCACTTCCCGTTGTTTCGTTACGTTTTGATTGCACTTCCCGTTGTTTCGTTACGTTTTGATTGCACTTCACGTTGTTTCGTTACGTTTTGATTGCACTTCACGTTGTTTCGTTACGTTTTGATTGCACTTCACGTTGTTTCGTTACGTTTTGATTGCACTTCCCGTTGTTTCGTTACGTTTTG